AGGGTACTTGAGAAAGGCTCATTTGCCTGGTGTGAATAAGCAGTTTGTTTTCAGATCCTGTAATGCTCTCTTCAGAAAATGCTGTTAGTTCACTGGAGTGGCATTAGGAGTTGTGCCGTTAAACGGTCTTTTTCTCAGGCAGCAGATCCTGCACTGATGAAAGTAGAAAGACAATACAATCTTCCTGGACTCCTTGGCAGTAATTTCCTCATCTCCTTGTTTCTGGTAATCTTTAAAGTAGAGAGAAATGCCCTGAGAAGCAGGATTGCCATTCCTAAACAAGTCATCTGCCCTAGTGAAATGCTGTAGGAAACTGCTATGGACTGAGTGGCTTAACACAGAGAGATTCATTTCCCAGTTCCAGAGCCTGGGAAGTATGAGATCAAGATGTCAGCCGACTTGGCTCTTAGTGAGGCATTTCTAACCATTAACTTCTTGCTGGGACCTCTCCAAGGGAGGTGGTGGGGTGGACACTCTCCAGTCTATTTTCATAAGGGCACTGATCCCATTATGGTGCCCCACTTTCATGACCTCATCTAAAATTAATTACCTCCCAAAGGTGCCACCTCCTAATGCCATCATCTTGGGCATTTATGCTTCAACATGGGGATTGTAGAGAATCACAGACATTCAGTCATAGCATCATCCGATAAGCCTGGCAGGCTCCTAGCCAAATACATGCCTGATCTTGGGCAAGTTATCATCGCCTTATTCATTTGTAACCTAGGAAAAATATCATTCTTCATAAAATGGTCCTTATAAGATTAAATGATAAAATAATTTCAACAGATGCTGGTTTCTTGCCTTTCAATCAATAATCTTGAATTACATTGGCTTGGTTCATCCATGAATCATAAACTACTTTTCATTTTTAAAATAGTCAAAAATATATGATAAGAGTGGTTGACTTTATATAATCTCTTTGAACTACCTCAGACCTCACTCATTTACCACCTATTCTTAGAACTTCCAAAACTTCCTTAGGTACACCACATCAACTACTTCTAGAATAAAAATTGAATGCTTTCAGAGGACAATTGTTTTTATTTCTTGTGAACAAAATATAAATATGTAATAGAGGATTAAATATAAATAGAGAGAGGATTAAATTGTTTATCTTATAAAGTAACTTACACAACAAAAGGTTCTGTCTCTGTCATTATGAATCTAAATAACTTCTTGAATACAGAGGAGAATCTAGTGTAGAATGATTAGCCAAGAATGAAACTTCTGTGAAGTAATTAAGAAAAAGTAAATATTCAAAATAATAGGCAATGTTCATTAACTAGTATAGTATTATATCATAAAGACAAATTTCCATTTAAGAAAAAAGTCTTGCAACAAGATGAAGTCTAATAATCACTATGAACTGTATTTAAGAATAATTAGGAGTCAAGAACCATACATAGTCAGTTGAATTGCATTGTGCTTCAGGTAATTGTGCTTCAGGTTTCAACTTAAATAGTTCTGGAAAATCAGCAGAACCCTGTACTTAACAAAACAGATAAAGAAAATAATGGCATTAACATTAGAAGAAATTATTATGGGGGACTGCCTTGTTGATTATGCCCAAGGCAAGCTGTGAGCAGTGCAGGCTGTAAAGAGCCCCACAACTGGCTTGTTTTGAGAAGTGAGTCCAGCCGAAGCCTATGTACCAAGATTACAGTGCCTCTTACCCAAATTCCATTCCCAGAGTTGAAATCTTCTTTACTAAAAAGACAAGGTTAATTATTAACCACAACCTGTATTTTGTCTGTTCTGTTCCTAGTTCAAGAATGCTTTGACTCTTCCTTTACAAGTCTTGCCTGCATCAGAAATATATTCATAGCAAGTCCACATAGTCCCTCCATGAAGCCCCTTTACCTCAACTAACTATGATGTCACCAATAAATATCGGCAGCTCTGGGTGTTCAGGGCCTTTGCATGTTCAGCTTTGCTTCCCCAAGCATTATTTTAACTCTGTCTCTAAGTCTTTCTTTTAACTTTGTACCATAGCACTGAGCAGGAGATCATAACCTGCTGTGGGGGTCTCTGATAAACATTTCATAAATGTTTATTTCATAAACATTTTCAGTATTAGTCTCCTAGGAGGTAGAATGTGTCATATATTTACCATGTCCTGAATCATCATTCATAGCACCCGCTGTCCAAAAGAATAACGTATCTATCCAAATTGTCAGAGAATTCAATTTAATTTCAGTTATTACACTTGTTACATATTGTCATGCTACTTCAATAGACCCGAAATTATTTCTTTGAAACTTACAGACAAAAATAACAGAAAATTCCATATTCTTCCATGACACTAAGATAATCAAAGAATTTATTGAATACATAGTTGGCAAGAAAAAACAAGGCCTAAAAGCTCTGCCCAAAAATTCTGAGCAGGCAATCCAGAACCATTAAAATAATCAAAACTACTCACAAAATGTCTCTATCAATAAGTCTGAAATGGTCAGGCTTCACCATCTTGAATCAATTGCCTTGGGGTGGAGAAACAGCTATCTTTTCAGGTCATTTTGTGATGAAGTGAGACAAGAAGAAAGGTAGAACCAATTCCTGAAATGGACAGAGATGAGAAAGGGGAAAGAAGATAAAGAAAGTGGACTATCTTATGCCATAAATGAAGTGAATAAGGCTAGAAGTTATATTATGGCCTATTTATGAGCTCTCCAAACCATGGCAGACCAAGAACTTTCCCTACACTTACACACTGGGTTTCTGTAACACAAGACAAAGGTGAGCATATTATTACTCTGAAGAATCCCCTTAGAATATACAGTCCCTGAAGTCAGCAGCTGCTATTGCATGGATCCACGGATGGATGGATGGATGGAATGAGCTGCTTTTTACTGAACTACCCCTCTGATTTGGACATTTCTCTCATTCCTTTTTAAGTTAGCACCAGCTATGTGAAAAGGCACTCAGACTTTAGTCCTTGATTTGGAAAGGTGCTGTAGAAGGTTGCCTCCCTCAGGATGAATGTGGGGAAAGTTACACTCTGTGTATGTGCACCATATGGATATAAAGTTCGATGCTTATCCCAGGGGAAGTCCAAGTCAATCTCTAAAGTATGAATTGTTACAACTTTCATAAATTTTACTTTTTCTACTTTAAAATTTTAAGTATAAATTCAAGAATGGTAGTACAGGATTGTAATCTGAGCATTCTGGTGCAAGCCCAGCCTGGGCAATCTAGTAACTTAGTGAGACTCTCTCAAAAATGAAAAGTTAAAGGAGTTGGAGATATAGCTCAGTGTGCACCTGGGTCTTTCCTCAGAACTACAAAAAAAATTAAATATAATCTTTGTGGGCAATCATGGACCTTTCTGTTCTCCTTTGATAATTAAAAAAAAAAGATAGATGGAAAAATAAAATTTTTTGATACTGGGGATCAAACTTGGGTCCTTGCGCCTGCACAGCAGGTGGCGAAAACTCTGAGCTGAATCCCCGGCCCTAGATGGAAAGTTTTGAAAGGGCAATGCTTTAGTGTATATGGTCATGTATATGGCCAATTTGAAACTATTCAAATGATCGTTTATTTCACTCCTTTATTTTATTAATATGGTGAATTCCATTTATTGGTTTCCAAATATTTACCTTGCATTTCTTTTTTTTTTCTTTATTAAGTTCTTTTATTGGTACATTGTAGGTATACAACACAATTATATTTCTCATTGGGAATTGTACCTTTACATAATGCATCTTGGTTCTTTCTTTTTTTTTTTTCTGGGTGGTACCATTCTGTGTTTACTAAATAACTAATGGCCAGGACATGGTGAATGATTCGACATCAAGGAAGCCACAGGTGTATCCCCCTTTTCAGTGAAAAACCACCCTCCCAAAAAAGTAAGGAGAAAAGGCACAGTATATACACGTGACACAAGGGCTGGCTGCCCTCTTGGGCAGGGTGCATAAATTATAGTGACAGGAAGAGGCGAGAGACTGAGAATGGGTAGGGTCCAAGCAGACCAAGGCTCCTCTGCTGAGTACACCCCTAATCCCTGCTGGGGCTATCGCCCACCAGCTTCCCCCAGCAGCTCCACAGGGTGAGAAGTCCCCCTCGGGAGCCCCAGGGGAAGGCACCAGGGAGGCAATGAGCCAGGGGATCCAGAAAACGGGGATCAGTTCTGGGACCCCATCAAGGTGAGGGACCTTGTTCCTGGTGCCCAGCCCGAAGAGGCATATCACTGGGGAGGGGCTGGGGCTGGTCCCTGGCTCATTTTCAGGACAAGAATTAGAAGCAAAATTAGACTATGGAGGTAGGAGTTAGGATGGGGGCAGGAGGGAACCGAAAAACTGTGCTGAAGACCCCTGATCCCCAGGCCCAATAGGTGGCTTCATCCCTCCCAGCCCCTGGGCCTAACCTGAGCTTGGGCTGATGTCCCAGGGGGTGGAGGAGTGGGAAGAACAGGACAATTAAATAAGATTATTAAAAAATAATGCCAACATTATTTTCCCATCCCCAGGCCTGCCCCTGCTTCCCAGGTGCCTCCCAGGGCTGGGTCCCTTCCTTCCCCCGGCTGTCCCATGGAATGAAGAGAAAACAATGGACTGGCTTAGTCAGGCACAGGGGAGGGAACGCAGATCTGCAGAGAGGAATAAGGATGCCACAGTAACTTCACCCTGTGTCACAGCAGACCCAAGCACACAGATATAAAAACATTCATATAAAAGGGGGGCATGCCAGGCACCATCCCAAGGGTGTAGGGCTCTCAGATGCCCAGAGACCTAGCCCCCCAGAGAGAAAGCCTCATAAAAAAATGAGGAAGCAGAGAGGGGAGATGTGCAGTCTCCAAGGGCTGGAGGCAGGGGCTTGGCAGGGGTTCTCAGGGAGGGAACCTCTCCATCTCTGCCCGAGGTCCTCCCTCTGCGCACACCAGGGTGTGGACCAAGGGCGTCTATGGACTGCAGCTTTGTGCCCAGGCCCTCTAGCCTGCAGTGGTCCAAACGCCTTGCAGCTAATAGCTCAGAAGACGAGGCCCATCCCCACAGCTCTCAGAAGAAGAACAGACGCGGGGAGGAGGGAGACAGTCTGAGACAGAGCGAGAACTGGGAGAGACACTGAGACAAAGGCAGAGGGTGGTGGGCCGCGCCTGGCGGTCAGGAGGCAGCGATGGCAGTGCCACCACCCAGCTTGACAATCACCGGCTGGCAGTCACTGCAGGAGCGCTGGTCGCCCACCTTCTCCAGTGTTTGGGCAGCCTCGGGCAGCAGCACGGCCCGCTGGCCTGGGGAGGAGAGGAAGGAGAGGGAAAGGTGGCGACACGCCAGCAGGATAGCAGTGGCCTGCTCTCGTTGGCCAGGCCAGGCGTCCACCTCTCCATGCTTGGTGCTCTCGGTGGTGCGGCGCTGCAGGCTGTGCTCCAGCAGCTGGTGCGTGCGAGTAGGGCTGGCTCCTGCCATCAAGCACACAGTGGCTTCATGCAGGAACTCCTTGCGGTATGCTGGCGGAAGCTGTGTGCCAGTCTTCACAGGCTGCCCAGGTCTCGCTGGAAGCCAGCCAGCTCGGTGCCCGATGCATGGTAGGTCTCACCCAGGGCCTGGCTGGCACCTGCTTGCTTTTGCCAGAGTGCTGTCCGCAGTGACAGTAGCAGGTCACAGGTAAGCACCTGGACCACGTGGTTGAGGGGCAGGTCAGAGGTGGCCTCGCTGACATTGAGGCTGCTCCACAGGTGGCCGCTGGCCCTCTCACAGGAAAAGAAGGAATTCTGCTGCCCATCTGCTTTTGCAGAGAGCGAGGCATGCATAGCTTTGCAGGCGTGAAAGATGGCCTTCACCAGGGGGCTCTCAGTCACTTCCAGGGCCTTGGGGACACGCTCCACTTCAGTCAGACAGGAGCACACAGCTGCATCATTTCCCTGGAGCCAGCTGATGGCCAATGTGACTGCAGATGTCCACCAGCGGCAGATGACGTCAGGACCGAGGGCCAACTTGAACACTGAGCTGCTGGAGAAGGGTGGGGCTGCAAACCCTACAGAGTCCACAAAAGAATGAAGTGATTTCAGGTACTCCAAAGCACTGGAGAATGCACAACTCTCTTCTTCCTGGTCTCCAGCCTTCTTCTTGGCCTGAGGTTTCACCAATGACTCCACAGCTTGCTCCAGCAAGTTCCTGCAGAAGGCCTGGTGGACCTGGGCAACGGGGTCAGCTGGGTTCCTCTGGGCACAGTACAGACTTTCTTTGGCTGCCAACTTCACTGACCAGCTCCGCTCCATGAAAAACTTCTGGCCCAGGGGATGGCAGAGCCAGGGCAGAGAATCTGGGATGGCACTGTGCTCGAGGCCACACAGGCTCCGGGTGTGACTGAGGAAGTAGTTGGCCAGGAAGCCCAGCTTGCCTCCACACCGGGTCTTGAGCCCCATGGCAGCTGTCAGATGGATCTCCACCAGTGTGCTCGGCGGGATCTTCTCCTCAGCACACTCCGCCAGGTTCACAGCACACAAAGCCATATGCACATCTGAACATGGAGACCCTGCAGGAAGCTTCCCTGTGATGTGCAGCTGGTGCAGCCTCTGATAGGCCAGTGCTGCATCCCGTGCACTGCTCTTAGCCTCATCTTCAAAGCCAGCTGCGGTGGCCGGTGTGGCTCGCCAGCACTAGAAGACTTTCTTGAGCCATCAGGGCACCAGGCACAGCTTCTGGAGGCTGTAGCGGCTCACATTCCAGGAAAGGCTGCAGGCCAGGTCCAGGCGGGAAGTGGGCAGTGCTCGACTGAAAACTGACAGGCAGGTCTGTAAGTTGGCCGCAGCAGCTGCAAAATCTCCCCTGGCGAGGTCCAGGTCCGCTTGCTTCCGGTGCCGCCAGAAGGTAACCGAGGATCTCGAGTGTGGCCGGATCACTGGCTCCCCATGGACCAGAAGCTTCACAAAGACACTTAGGACAATCACACCATTTACCAACCACAGGAGGAGCGTTGGCATCATCCAGTCAAACCAGCCCACAGAACCTGACTCAAATGACAGCACGCTGTGACTAGAGCCTGAGTACGGATGCTGGTCTGAGTCTCCAGCCCCTCCCCATTGCAGCAGGGAAGTCAGGGCGTTAAAGGAGAGGCCCAGGAAGGTGAGAACACACAGCAGAATCCGAAAGCGGTCCACCATGCCCAGCACTACAGGAGGAGAGTCCAGTTCATCTTTGACCTTTGCATCATCCAAAAGAGGACTTCCTGGCTCAGAGTCAATGGAGTAGGGGGAGAACCCAGCCTGGGACCCTGAGTCAGAGGCTGGGGGGGGACATCAGAAGGACATTCTGGTTAAAGTCATCTGTCTTCAGGTCCACATCGTTGTCCACCAGACTGCCTAGGTCCATGCCCTTCAGAAGCTTGTTTTTCTGATTTGCCAGCTTTAGTGCCATGTTTTCCTGGCGCAGTTTATGATTAACCTGCTGTAAGTATTTGATATAATCAATAGCCTTCCTCAGAACGCCAGACTTGTGCATCTTAGCATCTGTCCGCATGACTAGGTCCTTCAACTCAACGATTTTGTCGCTGATGGAGGAGCGATACCACTTCTCAATGATATTGTGTGTTGTCTGACTCTCTCCTTCTTTGGGGGGCTCGAGCTGCTTGACTCCCCCAGGCACCTGCTTAATGGGCGACTTCTCTTGTCTCATCATCACAGGCACGGTTGTCAGAATGGTGCCACTGCTGCCCACCAGGGTTGGTACTTGAAGGGCAGCCGTTTGGATGGGGGTGGTGAGGACAGTGAGGGCTGGGTTCTGGACTGCAGCCATGACAGGGCTGCCATCTGTCTTCAGTGTGGTCAAAACATGAGAATCTGTCTTGATGATCTGAGGCTGGACCGGGACCGGGACCTGC